GGGAGGAGGGAGGAGGAGGAGGACGAGGAGAAGGAGGAGCCCCCTGTGTCCTCCCGAGGCTGGCCTGGACGAGGACTCCGTGCTGGGGCAGCGCCTGGCCGCCGCAGCGTTGGCCGAGGCCAGCCTCCCCGCCGCCGCCGCCCGCTGCGCCCGCCGCCCCGCCGCTTCGCTCGGGGCGAGGGGGGGGGGAACGGGCCGAGGAAGGGCGATGGATTGAAGCGCCGAGGATACGCCCCGCGCCTTCTGAGGAGCAGGGGTGCTTCTGAGAAGCCTCCCCCCCTCCCCCGTACCCCCCTCCCTGCGCGCAGCCGACTTTCCCTTGTGGCCAGAGATCCCCTGGCGGCTCGAAGACGACCGGCTGTTCGCTGCTCGGCCCCTGGGAGCTGATCTCTCGAGGCGAGGGGGCCGCACGCCCAACAAAAACGGTTCCAGGTGAGAGGCTGGCCGTGGGAAGGGGGCCGCGTCGGGGGGTAGCGAACGCAACGGGGGAGCGACCTCTAAGCGACGGAGGAGATGAGCCGCGAGCGGCGAGCCGCCCAGCAGTCCGGCACGCGTCGGGCGCCCGTCGCGCCCCTGGCTGCCGGGCGACGAGGTCTGTTCATGTTATTTGCTGCCCCTCGCCAGGCTCATCCTTCAGCTTCGTCTTTCCGATCCCCACTTCCACTTGGCCAGTCACGAAGGGCGGGCATAGCAGTATCCGCGGCCTCGCGGTCTGGATTCCAAGGCGCGATCCCGCGGATATTCCGCAGCGATTTTGGCTCAAGCCGTTTCCGCTGGAGCAGCACAGGCTCTGCCAGCCTCGACCCGACCCACTTGGGTCGCCACCTGCACTAGTCGCAAAGGAAGGGTATGGCAGCCTGGGACTTTCGCATTCGCGGCCTGCTTTCGCATCGCCCAGACGGCGGCGGCGAGTGCATCGCCGACGCCGACCAGGCTTCCACCTGCTGCAGGCCGCGAGGGCGGAGCGGAGCGGCCAGCGCCGTGGTGGGAGCTCTACCTCCTTGAGCACCAGCTGCGTTCAGCCATCGGGGTCGTACACCACGCAGCAGGTGAACGTCGGCGGCGCCATCACGTCCATCTCGGCGGCCGGTGCCTTCGACGTGTACTTCTCTGTCTGCGCCTCGGGCAGCGTGTCGGTGTGGGCGGACGACGCCGTGATGCCTGCCGTCAGCGTCGCCCAGAGCGGAGGCACGCTGACCATCGGCTACCAAGGCTGCGTCAACGGGAACCGCCGCTACAGGAAGCCGAAGGTTACCATCTGCGGCGCGTTCTTCGTCAGTAAGGTGCAGGCCTGGAGTTCAAGGGCCACGCCACCGTCAGCAGCTTGACTCTGACTGCCGAGAGCAGCGGGAAGATCGGGATCGGCAAAGTCACGGCCAGCTCTCTGACCGTGCACGCCACCAGCGGTGGGCATATCGACCTGGAAGATTCGTGCATGGACCAGTGCGTCTTCACGACGCAGAGCTCGGGCAAGATCGAGGGTGGCACCTGCAACACCCTGGAGGTCAACGAGAGCAGCTCGTCGAATGTCGAAGTCACCTTGACGGGGAGCGCAACCCGAACGGTGTCTTCGTCTGCGAAGCTCGAGGTCCACGGCCCGGCAGCGTTAGCGGCGTGTCTACGAGCTCCCGAGGCAGAGTCAAGGTCGACACGTAGAGCGCAACATATTGTTCTTTCACGCAGGCAAAGGAGCAAGGACTTGAGTAGATTTGGCTTGAGCCACCTTATGTAAGTACGATATGTGCATGTTTTCGCGTAGTGCTCCCAAATCGCGTGGAGCGGCAGACAGCTTGCGTGTGGTCGCTGCCCTAGCGTACCTGGCTTGACGAAGGATGACACGCTAGCTGTTCCCATGGTGCTTGTCTGGCAAGTCGACGGTGGTGCGACAGTCCTCTATTTTCCTTTCCTCCCCATCATTGTCGGGCGAAGAGAACTATGCACATGCACCGATCCTGGCAAGGCCCATCCTTGACCCAGGATCGGTGCATATGCCTTCCTGGCCAAGGTAGGAGAGCGTATGCACCGATCCGGGGCTCAGGATGGGCCTGGCCAGAATCGGTGTATGTGCATAGTTCTTTTTCCTCTACATTGTTTCTTGTCTCTTACTCAATCCTCTCCTTCTTAATGCCCCCCCTCGGAAGGTCTATCCACCGGCGCTCCCCGCATCGCAGGGGCGCTGGCGCGTGTGCCTCCTACGGGAAGGACCGCCTGCCTGGCTATCCAGATGCACGTGGAACTTTCCTGGCCGATGTTGTTCAAGAGGCACGTGTCTTCACTGTTTCTTCTCCTCTTCCTCCTCCCCCTTTCTCCCTCCTCCTCTCCCTCCCTCCTCCCAGGTCCTCCTCCCGCCTCCCGCCCTCTATCCAGATGCACGTGGAACCTTCCTGGCCGATGTTGTTCAAGAGGCACGTGTCTTCATTGTTTATATGTTCCTCCTCTTCCTCCTCCCCCTTTTTCCCTCTTCCTCTCAGAGCGTGAATTACCTCCCCCGCTTTCGCTTCCAGGCAAAACCAAGCCATACCACGCGCCTCCTCGTCAAGCGGCCTGACCAGTACAGGCCGCAATTTGGCACCGTTTGGTATCTCTTGGAAGCGAGGGTGGTCAAAAGCGAGGGAGGTTTGTTTTCCCCCGATCCTCTCCCTCCCTCCTCCCAGGTCCTCCTCCCGCCCTCCCGCCCTCTAGGATGCGGCCCCCGTGCGCCGGTTGGGCAGCACTCGGCGTCATGGGCAGGGCAGCGACCCGCTTTTAGGAACAGCACCACCGCCCTCCCCTCCTGGCGTCTGGGTCGGTGTCTGGGGCGGAGGCCTCGCTCTCCTGTCGTCTTTGTTTCAGGAGGGGGAAAAAACACACAGACACAATTAGTCGGCGATTCCCAGAAAACATGGGAGAATATGGGAAGTGGGGGGGGAGACAAAAACCCAGGAGATATGTGAAAATATGGGGAATATTTTTATTTGTGTGTATTTATTTGTGTGTCCCAGTTCCCCTTCATTGTTGCGCCCACTAGGGCGGTCAGATCGTGCCCCCCCTTCCGAGGCGAGCGGACGCGGCTGCCTGCCACCCCGGGCGTCGCCTTCGAGTCGGTCGTCGCCGGTCCCTGTCGCCGCTCTGCCGCTGCTGCCGCGGCCGTCGTCGCTGCTCGTGCTGTCGTCGCCGCCGCCGCGCCGCCGGCGCCGTCGTCGCGTCGCCGTCCTGGTCGTCGTCGTCGCCGCCGCCGCCGTCGGTCCTCGTCGTCGTCGTCTTCGTCGTTTTCGTCCTCGTCCTCGTTGTGGTCGTCGTCGTCGTCGTCATCCTCGTCGTCGTCGTCGCCGTTGATCGGCGTTGCCTTCGCCGCTCCGAACGCGCGGACTCGGCCGGCAGGGCTTCCGGTGGAGGCCGCCGGCGGGGACGATGGGTGGTGACCGCCGCGTGGCCGTGGCTCGTAGGCCGAGTCTCATGGGCGCATGGGTGCGGCATGCAGACCCTGAGTCCCACGTGCCATATCCTCGGGCTCTGTTCTCGCACGGAGTTCCCCCGGCGCGCTTTCTGGGAGGCCCACGGGGGCCCGGCCCCTTCCTCCGCGGAGGCGGCGGCTGCAGCGGTCCTTTCCGCAGGCCCGACGGCTGCTGGGCACGCGCAGGCGGCGCTGCTGGCGCTTTCTGTCGAGAGGGAGGCGGATCGTTTCTGGGCGGCCGCAGGGTGCAGTTCACGCCCGCCCTACCCCCCTCCCGCCTGGGTTCCCAGGAGGCGTGGGTCGGGTCGGGCAGGGTCCTCTCTCCCTCATCTCTCCTCCGCACTCCTTCTCTCCCTCGGGGTGGCTTCCTCTCCCCCTTCCTGTCGCCGTCCCGCACTTGCGTCGTGCGTCGACATGGCAGCGTCGGAGGGATCGGACGAGCCTCGGGGAGGATCCCCCCTGCCTGGACCCCCCCGCACCGCGGGGAGTCCCTGAGTTGCCTCTCCCGCCTCGCGCTTCGCAGGGGGTGGGGTCGGAGTCTGTCGGGGCGGTTTTTCGGCAGGGGTTTTGGTTCTGGCCTGTTTCTCTTGGGGCCTGCCTGTGGGCCCTTCGGCTGCGGGGCCCGAGGTTCCATTGTTTCTCCGGGCTCCGTCTCCGCCGTCGGAGCTCCGACAGCTCCCCTCCCGTCCCCTCCAGCGCTGGTGGCTTGGCTTCCACGGCCGTCGCAGCGCGGACGCTTCCGAGCCCCCCCCCAGCCGTGGCGCCATGCTGAAAGGGAGCTGCGTCCGAAGCTCCCGAAGGCCGGCTCAATGGGAGCACCACCAGCCAACCAACCTCCGCTTCTCCCTACCTCTCCCCCCCCTTGTTTGGCACGGGCGAGATTTTCCGATGCACGCGGGAAGAGCAGGTAAAAGCGGCACGGGTGCCTAGGTCTGTTCACCAGCTCTCCCGGCCCCGGCACGGCTCGACGTTTGGTTTTTGTTCGGCTGACCAACCGTCGCCCAGCTTCGAGCGAGCGGACGGTGGTGCGAGAGACCTCCTCCCGCTCATTCTCCCCCTCCTCCTCCTCCTCCTCCACCATTCCCCGTCTTTCCGTCTTCGTGGGGTCTCAGCGCGTGCCCCCGCCATCTTCGTAGGGATCGGAGCACGCAGCCTCCCAGGCGGGGGGAAAAAAGATCGCGATCCCGCAGATGCGCTGCCGAACGGATACGTTCCGCGCGGGGTATCCGTGACAAAAATGCTCCGGATCCGCGGCGCCGCGGCCCAGGGGCCCCGCCGGCCTGCGAGGCCGCGGATGCGAGTCTGTTTTTCGCCCGCGAGGTGGAGGAGGCGGCCGGGGGGACCGCTGCAGGACGCCAAAAACACCTCCGAAAGCAGTCCAGGAGGGGCGGCGCGCGGAGAGAGGTGCTCCCGCACCGGCGAAGAGGCGGAGAGGGGAGAGCCGTGCCCGGGTGGGGGGAACCCAGGGCGCCTTCGAGGGCGCGAAGCTATTCGCGCGTAACGCTTCGCGGTTCGGCTCCGGTTCCTCCTCGTCCTCTTCTTCTCCCCTGGGAGGCTGGGAGGCGGCGCGAGAGCGCGAAATTATTCGCACTTCGCGCTTCGCGCAGCGCGAAGCGCGAAGTTGGGAGCCCTTGGGGAGCCGTGCTCAGGAGTCCTGGGAACCAGACAATCACATACACATAAAAACTTGGAGGCCCGCGCGGATGTCACGGATTCTTTTTTTGCCCCCCCCACCCTGGCGGTCGGAGCGCGCCAGGGACGGTGCCGGAGGCGCCGCCATGGGGCACCAGCGCCGATCTGAGAAATCCGCGCGGACCTCCGAGTTGTTATGCTTATGTCATTGTTTGGTTCCCTAGGGAGGGGACGCACGTGTTAGGTCGTGCGTGTCCCCCTACAGGCGGATTTTGGACGACTAAACAAAAATCCAAACATACCCTCGAATAGTCAAACAATGCCAGAGAAATCGTCCCCAGACAATTTTTTGACTATTTTTGAGTATCCCTCCTGTAGAGGGACACGCCCGACTAAGGCACGTGCCGAGGAGAGGACCCGGGCCTCCTCGCGCCGTGGCGGCCCGAAGGGAGCGCCGAGAGGTCCAGGCGAGAGCGCCGGGTGGGGGCGTGCCCTCGCGCCGCGTGGCCCTCGGGGGTGGCCCTGCCTCCACACTGCGTTTTCGCGCCCGCACGTCAAGGAGGAGGCAGGGCAGTGGGGAGGGGCCGGTTGGGGGGAGACGAAAGGAGGAGGATGAGGAGGAGGACCAGTGCAAACCCAACGGTCATCGACGCTGTTGGGATACACCCTCCCCCAAGCTCCCTCTTCACAGGCCCCTACAGGCGTTCATTTCCGTTGAGGGAATTGCTCTGTTGGAAGGCAATCGTTTCAAGATCCTGAAGCATACCAGAACATTGTTTAGGGGATTTTCAACCCCACGTATCAGCCTGAGTGCTGCGTCTTGACGATCCGGACTCGTGCCTGAACGCCATTGTTGGGATTTCAACACCGCGAGTCAATTAACTGTTGCACCCGTGTAATCCTGAATCCTTCCAAAACATTATTTCTGGTACGTTGGTAATTCGTGAAACTCCTGCAAATGTGTAGAACAAATGTGCGCGGCGCGAAGGCGAGAGCCACATTTTGAAAAGGAACCGCTGTCAATCCCAGAAACTCCTGCATATTTTTTACAAAGAATGTGCGCGGCGCTAGGACGATAATCACTTTTTGAAAATCACCCTCATCCGTGAAACTTTTGCAAATTTGAAAACGAATGTGTGCGGCGCAACGGCGAGAGCCTCATTTTGAAAAGGAGCCGCCCTCAATCCGTGAAGCTCTTGCAAAGGTTTACATTGAATGTGCGCGGCGCTAAGGCGACAGCCACATTTTGAAAACGACCCGCCCTCGATCCTTGAAACTCTTTGCAAATGTTGGAAATGAATGTGTGCGGCGCTACGGCGAGAGCCACATTTTGAAAGCGCCCCGCCTTCAATCTGTGAAACTCTTGCAAAGTATGAAAACGAATGTGCGCGGCGCTAGGGCGAGAGCCACATTTTGAAAGCGCCCAACCTTCAATCTGTGAAACTCTTGCAAATTTTGACAACGAAGGTGCGCGGCGCTGAGGCGAGAACCACATTTTGAAAACGACCCGCCCTCCATCTGTGAAGCTGTTGTCACTTTTTAGAGTTCAGAGTCGTAAATGGAAAGGAAGTCTCACGCGAAACGCCCGGCCCGCCCTAAAACTGGCCTCGGGGTGCGATAGGAAGAAGTTATTGATAAGGAGAAGGAATGGTGGAGGAGGAGGAGGAGGAGGTGGAGGAGGAGGAGTGGGGTTCGACGGCGACGGAATGGAGGAAGAAGACGAGTCCTAAGAGGAGAGAGGGAGGGGGCAGGAGGGAGACGAAATGAGGATGTCGAGGAGGAGGGTGGGTGGAGGGAGGAGGGGCAGGAGGACGAGGATTGGGGGGGGCTTGGACGGACCCTCCTGAGCCAAAGGAAGATAAGGCATCCCGGCCCCCCTTACGGTAACTTGCGTTTACTTCGTAGGCGTGGGCGTTTGGTAAACAGCCCTGTTCTG